CAAAAGCATTGAAAAAATATATTTATATATATATATTTTTTTTTTCAAACAGTATAAATTACTTTTATATGAAAAATTTCAATTTACTACTTTTTCACAGAAAGAAGAAAAAATGAAAATTAAACAGCTTTTAGAATCAATATAATTTTACTTGTTAAGCTTTGTCAAGTATTTATTAAAGTAATGATTTTTAAAATAAATAGTGTATCAAAAATCAAATTTTTTCTGCAATTCATCATTGAATAAAAAAATTTTTTCAAACAGGAATTCTGTGCAACTCTTATATTAGCAAAAAATATTCTTCATATTTCAATTTAAAAAGTAACTTTATTGCTGTATAAATCATTTGTCTTGTTTTTAATGGATTCAATTGTCCTCATATCTATTTCATAATAAAGTCTGTCAACACTTTCATACTTTAATTAATAGTAATAAAATTTTATTGTAAATAAAAATATAATTATATAATAGCATTTATAATAATGTTATATATAATAGCATTTATAATAATGTTATATAATTATATTTTTAATACCATTTTGACTTTTATATATATATATATATTTGTTTCCAAATCATTAATTAGGATATATAAATAAGTATATACAGGGTTCCTACTCAAATTTTTGTTTTAAATCCCATGACTTTCCTTGAACCTCACATCCCTTACAGTAATGCACATTGTCAAAATAAACAGCATTTGACTTACTACACACATACACTATTGCTTCTTCAACTTTTTAATTAGTTATTTTTTATAATTAACAGTTGTTTATTTTTTCATAATCACTGCTTAATTAAAATTAAATATAAAATGTTTTATTAAATTAAATTAGTTGAATCTTATATTAATCCATAAATTTATATGATAATTGTGAAGAATTTGAAAAGTTAAAACATTTCAAAAAATTTTTATCAATGCTAGATTATTACGAGTATGATAGACTTTTCTCTCAATTTCATATCATCTCATATCTAAAAGTGTTTTAAAATTTAAAAATGACAACTGATATTGCCATTTGTTATATCTGGGACTTAGTTGGATCCCTTGGAATTTTGCAATGCTCTCCTTCCTGTTGCATTTTACAATAATTCTTCACATAAACAATCAATGTTAATTTTTAAAATTAATCTGCACTATCAATAAAAGAAATAAATATCTAATAATTGTCTAAACATTGTATATATTTTTTGATTTTGTGTAAAGTGATCACAATTTATAAGGTATAATTTTGAGTGATTTTAAAATACAGTCTTTACAATGCAATAGAATAATAAGTAAATCTTATTAAACATAAAACTTATTAAATGTAAAAATTAAAATTAGCTCATCTTATATGATTGTACAAAGTTAAAAGAACTGCTTAAGAACTTGGTCTTTAGGTATAATAACAAAAAATATATTGATGAATAACACTTGTGTATTGTGTATTATTTAAATTTATATTATATACACCTCAACATTTCACTGTAATAGTTTTAATATCGTTATCATCAACAGTGTATCTTTGTGATTAAATCAAATTTTGAACATACAAATAATTTTGGGTCAGTACAAAATAATCCTTTTTTAATAATCCAGCNAAAAAAAAACAAAAATTTTTTCGGAGGGCCCAAATGCCCGAGTTTTATGTAACGCTATGGAACTTGCCCGAGTTATCTCGGGTTTTAAAGATTGCAGCATTACTTCTTGCCGCCTGCAGATGGCTGTGATTGGTCATCTATATTCAGCAAACGAAATCAACAACGCAGTTAAGGAGACAAATTCCCTGACTTTTTGACAATTTTCGACAAATTCCCTGACTTTTTGACAATTTTTGACAAATTCCCTGACTTTCCCTGACTTTTTCAAAAAATAATGAAAATCCCTGACTTTCCCTGATTTTCCCTGACTTTCCAGGTGCGTAGGAACCCTGTATATATGAAAAATTTAAATATGATTTGTTTTTATATCATTCTATTTAAAAGTTGTATATATATTAAAATCATGCCTTCTGATACAAAGTTAGCTATTTTTAACATAGCTATATACAAGATTTAGTAATTTGTATCTAAAATCATTGCAAGACTAGTACTTCAATTAAACTTTAATTTATATAATTAAAATATACCATTTAATAATTAAAATAATTTTTAAATATAAATTACTATGTTTACAACAAAAATACAAAACAAATCTTGAATACATTTTAATATTCAAATTTCAGAATTTTTTGTGCGTACAGGAAAGTCATTTCAAAAATTTTTCTAGGAAAGTAGCTCAAGGTTAATAGAATTTTCTCTTTTTGATAAGTTTAGATGCAAAGTATATAAGTAACATTCTTAATAAAAAAAATACTTACTGTTAAAACAAATACCATATACAGTAGATGTAAATAATAGAATTATATAATAATTCTAAATATGTTGCCTGTATAATAGTAATTGATCAAATTTGGAATGCATCAATAATATTGATACATATAATATACATATATATCAATATAATAAAGTCAATGGTAATGATAAAAGTTTAATTTATTTCTTGTCACTATTTGCCGGTTTTGACCTGTAGAATCCCTGAAGTCGGAAGTAGAGAGAGTATATTTTTACTTGTTTTTAACTGAAAATATTTATTTTTAATGCTTCAGTTTAAAAGTCTTATTATTAATAAAACTTCTTAAATTGGATTTGATCAATTATCATACAGACAACTTGTTCACACTGATAAATCAAACCAAATAGAATGGAATTTATTCAATTTAAAAATTTTTACCAGCAGCCATATTCCATAATGTGGAAGATATGCAGAGTGATTCAGTTTTAACTGCTTCAAATGGCCAATCTTTATGCAAGATGAAGCACTCTGCAAAATCACTTAACTGAAGAGTGGTCAGCTGCTTCCTACTTGAATGACAATGACATCATACAATTTTTTGTTGTAGGGCTATCTCAAAAACAAATCTACTGCAGAAGTGTCCCTAAATTAGCAGTCATAAAGGACAACATATATTGTACATTTCTCCCAACATGTTACTTTCTGCTTTTGAGCATACTATGAGTCAAATGCAGTTTTTGATCCACGAAAACAGTATGATATATGTCCAAGTGCACAAACAAAGTTTTGGGAAAATTAAAGCAATTCAAGAAAATCTATGGTATAAAAAATAATATTACAGCAATAATTACAGTGCTTATATGCAGAGCTTTCTCATATCCTTCCATCCAATTGCTTGTGGATGAACTTTCCTATGTTAAATTAGCAGTTTGCAGAATTGGATACTATCTGGCCAAGTTTATCCACCTTGTCAACTGGGTCAAAGGCATGTTGTTTTCTTGTATTGTATGAAGTAGTGAATTTTGTGATACCTGCCATTCCTTATCTGTATTTGCCAGGATTTTAAGAAATACAGTTACATATTGTCACTAGCACCATAGCCCACATAACCTCGATAGACACAATTCCACACACTGAAAAATCTGGGGTTTATGCTATTTCTTTATGAAATTCACTAACTACATCCAAGCTGTTGTATATTGGACAACTGCCAGAATGCTGCACCTCCATCTTGGGGAGCATCATAATGATGTTTAAATAAAATTTAGTGGTCATTAAAATTTATCACAATTTAATCAATAATATATAATGTTGATTTATTTAAATACACAAGTTTTAGCAATTTTATTGTTTAATATGTAATATTAAAATATGTCATAATCTTATGGTTAAAACTGTATTTTTAAGTTAGAAAATAATCTTTTAAATTTCATTTTATGTAATTAAGCAATTTATATTTTAATACTTTTGTCAATAACTTACCAATCAGTGGTTCAATATCATCAATTACATCGTATCTTTCAATCTGTTTAAGCATTTCTAATAAATTTCCTATAGTACTATTTGGTAGCAATTCCCATTCTTCAATAAGTTTTTTGGTTGGATTTCCAGTAGCTTCAAAACTTCTAATTGTCATATAATCAAACTCCATAAGTTCTGCCAGTCCACGATAGTCTTTGCACAGGAATCTTTCTGTGGGTATCTCCATTGGAGGATTAAGTAACTTGTATAACAAATTTCTGCTGGAAACATTTAATACTTTTGCAGGAATATTGTTGTAATTGTACTCTGCTCCTGCCATCTTCAATGTATTTCACTGTAACATTAAGATAATATAAGTGACAATAATGCATTTGTTTAAAAATATTTTATTAAAGTAGCACAATAATTATAACTGACTGAAGTCTTATTAGTTTTGTTAATTTATATTTTGTTTGACATATTGTTGAAAAAATTTAATATAGATTCCAATATATTAAAAAATTATTTGAAAAACAAAAAGAAAAGTTTAAGCAGATAAATTAATATAAGTTTAGTTTAAATTTTAACTAATAAATTAAAATTTATAGCAATAAAAAAATAAATATTTTATA